TTTGAAAGCATAAACCAGGGCTGCTCAAATTCGTCTTACGGCAGAGCATTTACTAACACACATACAAGCGTTCTTTGTGTGGGTTTGCAAACTGTGCACTGAGAGAGAGAAGAACATCTTTTACTCGTCAATTTATCACTTATTTTACTCACCCGCCAAATGCGAAATAAACTGTAAATTGCGAACAGCAGGTATAAAGAATGGATTCCAGTGTAAGGGTTCAAGGATGATCGAAAAAGGAGAGCATGAAAAAAACAAGAACAAATTATATTGCAGTTGGCGACGGAATGAGGCGGAAAGAGGAAAACGAAAAATTTGTAGTGGAATAGCGACACCAGAGCTCAAAGCTTATGCAGCGAGCATATGCAAAAACAAATAAGCCCAGGCGTTGTGCACCCCTGGTATAAACCTATTTTAAGCCAGACAAATGATTATCTGAGTGCAAATTCGCAAAATATTAAATTTCAAATAAATGCAAAAATCAAAATCAACAAAAAACATGCAAATTAGCAATGTTGTTTATCACCTGAAAAAAAGTTCAAAGTCAAAATTAATCATTGGTTAACGATATTGTTTGGGAATATGCATGATTTCTGGGGAATCTGTGATAGGTGAAACCAGAAATAAAGCTTAGAGTCTGTGTCTATATATAAATACAGATCATTATGTCATCACTACGCTTCGGTTCGACATATCAGCACCCAATTAACCTTAGCTATAAATTTTATATAAAAATTCACTTTGCCGGCTTATCAAGGGGAACATTCCTCTGTGTTTCTATTTTTGTACATACATACATACATACATAGATAGATGCATGTTTACATAGATTCATTTTGTGGATTTGCATTGGCTGCCGAGATCCGTAATTACGCTAAACGTTATGCGCATTTATTTGCCATTGATTTTGCATTTTAAATTTGACTTCCAATGAAATAGATTTCTGTATGGGTAAAATGTTAAGCGTAAATTTATATAGTTCAAAGTTGATTACTCGACATTTTTCGTCTGCATGTTTTTGTTTAAATATGCAAATCTGCAGCTTGAACAACTTTAATATGCAGCCGACCAAAGAGCCAAAAACTGGTTTATGGTCAACGTTTTTTTTTTTGTTTTGGGCTGCATAATTCCCCTCGAAATGGCTGACCAAATGACTTTTTATTTAGCTCACATTTTATGCTCATAATAAATGAGAGCAAGTGTGGGTGGGCTAGGGTTTTTTTTTTTGGATTTTTGTGGGTCACCCTAATGAGATCCTAAATTTGGTCACTCTACGAACATTTTTAGCCAATATTCTGATGTCGTTCGATTTGTGTTTGCCAGTGTTTTCACTCTCTCTGGACTGCATTGACCCAATTTGTTTATTTATTGAAATTGCTTTTATGGGCAAGCCGAGACAGAGTGTCTACCTCGCCTTCGTATCTCTTCTCAATCTACTATAATTTTCTGGCCTCTCGGCAGACACACACACACACACTCGACTTCAATTATTATTTATCGATTCCAGCTCAATTTGTCAAATATATATTTTCCTTCACTGGGTGGCTGGCCTAGTGGCTATAATTTGGCATTCGATCCGTTGCATGATTCATTGGTACACAATTTGTTCCATCCAAAAGTTACTTGCCACAACAGATCAAATGAGTTTAGAACTGTATCTGGACTTCGAGGACACTCCCGTGGAAATTAAATTATAAATTTACACAGAGATTTATTCTAGAGATGTCCTTAGGGTATGATTCTGCCCGGCTTACCAAATCTCTGACCACCCACAAATCGGTATAAATGACTTTAGTGCCTGAGGGGGCGTTAGATGGTTGCTGTTGCCGTTGATGTTGGATAACATACAACAGCAAGCTATTTTGTGGCATCCAAAAACGTGCTGCTCCCCTTATCCCGCCCTTCCCCATGACATTGTCACCTCTGTCTGTCTGGGCGTCTGCCTCGGCCTGTTGTTGTAATTGCTTAGTCTAATTTATGCCAGCGGACGAAGCAAAGTCAATGTCGACGTACTGTAGGAAAATGAAACTGAAATGGAAAAGAGACTAAAACAAAAAAAAAAAGAAAAACAAACACTGCCCCCAGACAGCGACATGAAAAAGCGTTTATCTAAGCAAAATGTTACCAAAGTCCGTAATTACAATTTATTGCAGGTAATTATGTAATTTTCGTGACGGATTTTGTTGTTTGGAGTTTTCAACGAGGGGAGACAAACTAAGTGCGTGTGTACACAGAGAGAAATACTTTTAAAAGGTGATTCTTAAAGTAGTAATACTTTTAAAGGTACATCTATTATTCCTATTCAAAAATTACCTTAAATGAGCTCCACTTTCGGCTGATTATTTTTCTCTCTGCATGAAAGTACTTTAAAATCTCCATGCGCTCGATGCGTACCTATTTTAAATGAGTTTTCGTTTTCGAAAAACTTGGACGTCTGATTTTTAGGAGCCCATTGCATGTGGCATGCAACGTTGATTGCTGCCGTTGACCATGGCTGGTGTGGCTCCTTGTTTATTTTTTTCCTTCTTTTCTGACTGCCTTGCAAGTTGTTTGATTTCTTGTTTGCTCAGTCAGCTCGTTGTCATTTCCTGTCCGAGGTTGGAAAATGGACATGAGGATGCCGCAAGATGACTGATTTTCCAGCCGTTTATTCTTAACCTTTTTAAGATGTTCTCGTTGGGACCTGAGACACGCATTTCCTGCTGGGATTATTAAGGATGGCGACAAGTCAATCGATTAATCATTATGGGAAAGTGAGTTTAAGTTTAGAGCTGAGATTATCTTTTGCTTGTGTTTTGTGTTTTTATGTTTTTGTTAATAACTTAAGATGTTATTTAAATTTTAATCATTTAAACCCACTAACAAGATTTCACTTCCAAAGTTTTCCCATAATCAATGGAACAAAGCTCTTGGTAAAGGGAAACCTCACACTTAAGAAACATCGTTTCTTCGTTTTTTTTCTGTTGATGTTCGCCAATTAAAACCCGAAAGCTATCTAAATCACATTAGACCCGAAGAATGGAAGAAAGAAATCCCTGTTCAAACCGTTTCCGTTGAAAATTGAAATTGAAATTTAATTTGCGCAGCCAGCTGGCGAAAAATAAAAAAAGAAGAAAAACTTCAGCTCATCAACGGCGGCATTAGTTTGCACATATTCAAATCAGTTTTTTATTTGCCGAACAAAAGGTTGGAAAAGAAACGCGGGGGAAAATCGTTAAAATAAAAACAGTTGAAGAGGTGTTGGGTAAGCGGCGGAAAGACAGGAAATACGTTTGGCCAACTAAACACACGGGGGGAAAATGCCATGGCAAAAAAAAAAAAAAAAACTGGAAATCATTGTGCGCGCGCTCTTCAGGCTTCATTTTTTTTTTTACCCCTGCCCCACCCCGAACCACCTCCTTTTGCGGCATCATTAACATATATTTGAAAACGCAGAGGAATTCCGCTCTTGCCCTCAGCCAGCGGGTTTTGTGGGTCTTGGTCCTGGTCCTCATGAAAATTTGTAAGTATGTTGGACTTGTCACTTGCACACTTCATGACCATATTTGTCACATTTGCGCCATGTTCGCGTGGCCAAGGAGCCCGCGGGGCTACCCAACCAGGGGTCCGGCATTTGGGTCCGCATCCTGTGGCCCCCGAGTACTTGGAGGAAACGTCGTCGTAGTCGTCCACCTCCTCCTTCTCTTCTCTTCTTGTTCCATGGCTCTTCCCTCGACGGGCAAATCAGATGCGCAACTAACGAGCAACAACCACGACAACGACAACGACGACGACATGGAAATTCGTTCGCTTTGCGTTTTGCCATATACTGAGTGGACACAGGGTAGCAAGGGGTATGATGGGGAGTGGCTTGTTTAGAGTTTTTGTATAACTTAAACATTGAAAACTTACATTAACTTTAAGTTAAGATTTGTAAATACATTTCTGGCAAAGGTGCCCATTCCAGGGCATTACCCATTCGACTAACATTCTTAGTTAAGCATTCACAACTTGCTTTTATTGTTTTGCCGGCTGCTGCTACTCCAACTGCTCCTGCTGCTGATGTTGCTGCTGATGCTGATTCTGATGCTTTCTGCGGTTGCCGCAGACGCCTTCTGGCCATATTTGTATGAATAAATGCGTATTTAAGCACATACTTACAACACTTGCCATGTATGGAGGGAGCCAGGCAGGCACCGAAAACGACAAGAGACACAGACTGGACCAGGGGAAAAGGCTCAGGGATTGGGGAGTGTTTTGGGGGACATCCAGGGGGTAGCCAGCCAGACAAGGGACAGTTCCCAGTGGCAATAGGCGAGGCCAGGCATTTTGCATTTTTCCTCATACGATTTTCCACATTTTCAGATATATTTTTGCTGCTGGTGCTGGTGCTGCTGCTTTATGATTTCTGCTTTATGCTGGCTCACCTCAGTGGCTCCTTTTGCAGAATATTAAATTGCGAAAATATTTCAAGGAGGGGGGATAAAACACAGTTGCAGAGCCAAATTGCAGAGCAAACAATTTATTAATTAAGCTTTAACAATTTGTTAAACACCATTTTTAACGGCCAGTGGGAAGTTATTCAAATGCAAAATTGCTATTTGAGTAATTGAATATTAAATAATTATCTAGAGTTGATCTAGGCGAGATAGGGGGATAGGGGAGGGAGTTCAGAAAAAATCTAATTAATGCATGATATTAAATGGAATCAAGTATTTCGGGAAATATGGAAAATGCATATCATAGTTCAATGGAACCATTAAGGCATTAACATAAATAAATAATTAAAATTGAAAATTAAAGAAAAAATCGAAAAAGATGGTAAAAAAAATGTCTGTCGTTCCCAGAGCGATTCCACTTAATATACATTTAAATGAATATTTTAAGCAAATCATAAATTGCCGGCGCACAAACCTCTTTGCCATATATTATTAACAATTTACGATGATGCTGCTGCTGCTGCAGCTGGATTAAATAATTTATGTTCATTCTCTTTTTTTTCCATATTATTCTCGTTGCAGGCTAACGGTTGCCCTTCATCAACAATATGTTTGACAACAAGTTCCGGCATTGGAATTGAATTTAATAAAATAAATTAAGCCAAAAACCAAAGGCGGGGAGTGGGTCAAAAGCACAAAAACACACACGCAGTTTGAATTGTTAATGAGCGGCGGCAAAAAGTGTTAAACGCTGATGAGGCTCCCTCTGCCGACGCCACTGTCGCTGATTCAACAGTGCTGAAAAGTCAATTAAAGGTAATCAAATCGAAACTGATTGCATTACAACATCGGCGACAATAATTTTAATTCGCATTGATGTTGTCACTTATTTTCATTTCATTTTCTGCTAAATACAACAATTAATTGGGCACAGCAGCTCACTGTCAGTCCTATCAACCAGATACTCGTACCCCTCAAAGCACCTTCTCCATGCTTTGGCTGTCGCATTGCGGTTTTAAACGCGCTTTCTGACGAGTTGGCTATTTTTTTGGATTTTTTGGTTTTTGGTTTCAGGTTTTTGTTTTGTTTTTTTTTTAGCAGCTGCATTGAAATTGGAGGATTACGGTTAGGATTTGTTATGTTAAGGGGCTTATAAATTAAGCCTATCACATTAATATGATACAGTCTCGCTGATTTATTTTGTTTACTAAAAAAAATAAACAATGTAATGTAATGTATTAATTACAGATATGATAGATAGGGAGTAATATTTAATAAAAATAGAGAAAAACTCTTTAAAATTTGGAAAAATTTATAAAACAATAGGTATTTGACTTAGAACTTTCACTTAATACCTATAAAGTCCTTAAACTTTACTTTTTCTTAACAAATTAATCAACTACAACTTTTTAGAGGTTTCCCCCAAACCCACTAGCCCACTTACGTGCCTTTTTCGGGGTTAACCAATAACAACTTAAAGCCAACAAATAGCAACAACATATGCACACTAATTGCAAGTTGTTAATGCTGGCAAAACAGAGCGGGCAACTCAATTGAAAATCTTTGGCGACTCTTAAAACTTGGCAAAGTAATATAAATCACCCAAGGGATCAGGGGAATGACCCGGGGAGAACTCGAGAACTTGGGGCTGAAATGGTCGCCGGTTTAATGACGCAAGTAATTGCAACAGCAACAGCAACCGGCAACTAGCAACTGCCAGCAGCAACAGCAGCAGCAGCAACTTGCAACTGGCAACTGGCAACTTGCAACAGCTAGAGATCTGAAAACTGCAAAAGGGGGGCCTGGTCTAGAGACTTAATGAAAATCAAACAAAACAAGCTGAGCAGCAACAACAATAACTCAAAGTCGGTCAACTGTGCTGGGTAGGGGGGGAAACGCATTCGATTCTACCACCCCCCCCCCCACACCGCTTTCCCAAAAAGCAATAATTGATAAACGAACATGGGCGAACAGATGTACAAGTGTTCAAATGAATGAATCAAGCTCAATGACGTTGATATCGGAAGACATGCGAGCCAAATCAATTGATTTATGCAGCTGAAGTTGCCTTTGAGGACGGCATTTCGTTCGCATTTAATTGAAAGCAGTAATTAAATTAATGACTCCCTCTCCCCCGTCCCGGGGAAAAGTCTGGCTTTAATTAAGTCAAGGAATGACGGTTTTTGCAGCTCTAACTAGACAACACACAACACAGTAGACACTCTGGCATGTGCAACAAAATTGTCACGCAATTCTTTGGCTGTAAGGCCAATGCACTCGCAGCTCATTGCTGCATTTGTGAATGCGGAAGTTAATTTATATATTTTTTTTATAAAAACCAGAAACGCGCCAAAAAAATTAAGATGTACTGGGCAATGCGTTTAAAACCGAGCCTGAAACGCGCTCAAAGAATTTAGCTGACAAAACAGTCTCAGAACGTGACTTTTGTGGAAAGTGTTTATAGTATTGATTGCAGTAAACTAATGATAAGTAATTAAAGGGTATTATTAAAGGGTATATTGGAATATAGAAAACCCAACCTAATAATACATCTTTCCATTGTCATTATAGGTTAGGAAATGTTAGGACATTTTCTCTTTATTTTAAGAATATTTTCATCTAACTTATTCACCACTTTTCCATTTCCTTTAAAAAAATGTTAAATAATTTAATAAAATCTGCCATTTTATTGCATTCCTCAGCGGTTAAGTATTTTTGCTGTCTGCGTCTTTCTTCGCATATATCATTCCTCTGGTCGTCTTCGGCTTATGTATTCATAATTAAATTAATTAAATTCTTGCGCTTCAATTAAAATCTTATTAAGTTTCCGTATGCCTAGGCACCGGGGTACTACCACCGCCACACAGCTTTTCCCTTTGAAACAATGGGGGGGGAAAAAACTGAAAAATTGCCGAGAATGGTGGCGAATGAGAGATGAGAGCGGCAGACAAAGAGGAAAAAGCGGGAAATGAAAAACTTCTTACAAAGCTTACTTATTCACACATCACACAGGCAACTGCAGACTTTTCACTCGCAAATACTTTTCCTGTCTCCAGCACACACATACCCTCACACACACACTTACACTTAAACATTTATATACACACACACGTTAAACATTATTCAACGGCCAGGAAAAAATGAGGAAAAATATCGTCCTAGCCCCTTGTTGGTCCTTTTTTGGGTGCTGCCCCAACCAGCACGGGATGCCAAAAACAAACAGGACGAAGAAAAATGCTTGCCGACCATGTGGTTCAGTTGATGTTGCTGCCGTGTTGCTGCCGATGTTGCTGTTGTTGTTGCAGCCGTGTTGCAGTGCTGCTGCTGCTGATGCTGGTGGTGCTGCTGCTGCCGTTGCACATATTGCTGCTGCATTCTTCGCATAAATTTCGCCATCGCACTTAACTCATGTCTCGGGGTCTCTCTTTAAATGAGTCTGGTTAGCTCTTGCCATTCATGCACTGAGAGAAAATGAGTTGAATTTAGTTTACCAAAGGGAAAATCCATTTTCGAACTTCCTAAGGTTGTTTATAGCTAATCAAAGAAGTTAGTTTTTAATCAGTTACTTATAAATTAAAATCCACTATATATTTTTCTTAGTGCTTTTATCTCCTTTTCGCTCTCGCTTCCTCGCTTTGAGGTCGGAGCATAAACAATGGCTCTGCTTAAAGCAAAAAACCACGCTGCCCCTTGCCCCAATGCTCCCTCCAACCCCCCTTCACCATCGCTTTCAGCCACGTAGAGTTCTGCACACATGTGACGCTGTCCTCCGCCCACCGCCCATCGAGACCCCCTTCCCAACGGCCTTGCCTCATGTTAAATTCAGCGGGGAACGCAACGCCACCAGAGAAAGGGGAAGAGGAAGAGCAGTGGCAGCGGCAGCGGCAGCGGCAGTAGGCAAAAAGTTTCAACTTATTTTATACTTTTTTTTTTTGTACTTCATCGTTGTAAAATGTTGAGCGTGGAAATTTAAAAGCAAATGCAAACAATATGGAACATTTTAAATGCACAGTGGAATGGAAAACGAATGAAAATGTTGAACTATTCTGGCCATTCATCCATTTTCCCAATTCTTATCTTTTTTTTAAAGGAAAATTGCCCATTAAAAAGTCCGATTCTGGCTGAAAAGAACATTTCCCCTCAAATATTACCTTCTTTTAGTATATAAAACAAGAAAAACGGATTAAATTCATATCAACTCATTTATTTCAAACCCTTTATAATACAATCTGTTGCCAATTTCATTTGCCCTGCTTCACTGTAGCCCATTATTTTTTTTTTGTAGACGGAACCGACACCGGCCAAGTAAATCACCGCAACTGTGAAACTAAATTTTCAGGGCACTAAATTTACGCACAGCCAACTAAACCCGGAGAGAAACTGAGACCAGCCTGCTGAACCCCAGTTAACCCCAAACCGAGTAGAGCAGTGTAAGCTGCCCGCTTAGATCCCTGTCTCGTTCTTCCTTTACCCCGGCTGTCGTTGTCTCTGTCTTTCTAGCACTTCCTTTCCCTTTTTGTTATATCCTTGCCGTGCAATTTTCACCATTTTGTGGTGCACTTTGCGCCTGGCCGCGATTTTCCGAAAGATTTATGGCCCACGACATGGAAGCGGAAGCGGCGCTGTCCAGGCCACTAAGTCCAGCTGCAGGTGTATGCACCACCCATCGCCCAATGTCTCCATCTAAACACCGACCTCCCCCCCAACCGCCTTGTTGAGTCAGCAACAATGGGTCTGAAGAGGGGGGATGGCATTGTCGCGAAGAGTCCTCTCCTAATGCCTGTCAGCAAATGCCGTTGTAAGGCGCTAAGGCTTTTCCACCACTCTGTTATTCGCAATCCTTTACACAGGAAAAATCATTTTATTTTAAGTGCACTGTTTTTCGGTCCCTTTAAGTCTGGGCTCGTTTTCATTTAACGCCATTTACCTTTTTACTATTTAATGCTTAATTTAAATACAAATCCGATCTGTTTGCTGACTTTTGTCGATAAGCAGGGCCAGAAATGATGGCGAAAGTTGGCGGCTAACTTTATTCCATCTGAAAAAGGAGAAAGAAAAGAAAGGGGCAGCAGAAAAAATCATTTGCCTTGGCAATGGCAATTTAATTTGCTTGGGCTTAGAGCTTGGTAAACTTTTTGGTACTTGAAATGGGAGCTCGACCAAAGGGATCTAAAGTCTAGAGTTACGAGGCTCACTTAAGGTCTTAAGACCTGAGCACACAAATTCAGAAAAGTAAATTGGGGTTATAGTGGAGGGGGAGGTGGAATGAGATCCATTAACTAACCTATGGAATAAGGGAGTAGAAGGTAATACTTCTAGTTAACACGCATTATATTTGTTTACTTTTTTTAATGTTCATCTTATCCGTTATGTCAAAATCAAAATAGAAAGAGGAAGTCAAAGAGGAGAGTTCAAAAACACTTATTTAGTGTTACCAGCTTGCGGTTGTTCAAGAATCTTGTGCTTTTGGAAATATGAAATTAGTATATTTCCATATTGGTTTTCAAATTTCTTTCTTTTCACTAAATCAAACTTAACCTTGTTACCCTTTTTCATATTTTTTCACTTTAAAAGCTCATCAGTCTTCTGCCAACTGCCACCTCTTTCTTAAGCTAACCTTTTCAGTACTTCTTTCCTTTTCCTTAACCGCCTAAAACTTTTTTTTTACAATTTCCTGGCCACCTCCGTGAACCACCATCTCTAAATCTGCCTCCCTTTATCCAATTCCCTTCCCTATTCCTAGAATTTATGTCTGTACTTGGCTAAGCCGTGTTTGTAGTAAAATCTCCACTATCGCGCCTTAATTTTAAAGCCCT